AAAATACGTTACGTTGTCTTTTTCTTCGCGGCAAACACATTGCTCGCTTTCCAGCAAAATTTACTAGCTGCAAAAGCACGATTTTGAGATAAAAAAGATCTGAAAACGAAATTTTAACCATTATATTTATCACATTAGCAGTATCTTCTCAAATTAATTGTCACTATTATATTTACTGACATTTCTTTTGTTGCGTTTATGATAATAAGTTTATACATGATAATTGTAAATCGTTGTTTGGATTACGATATTATTGAACGACGTTTTCTAAGACAACTAATTGCTCGTTAAACTCTACAGGTTCATTGGTTTTATCTCATCTCCAGTGTGTAATCATTGGAAGGAAATTGTGATGTATACCGTTATCGAGCAAAAGTTGAAATAACTCGTAAAGCTCCAATTAATAAACACGATGCGACCGGCAGTTAGTTGAGTGTCCTAATTTCACGGCAATGATACTGGCAGGGAAAATAAAAGAATTTTTTCATTTTTCTTTTCAGATTTACTTTCACAGTAATCCGGAAACTAACTAGAAATTTAAAGAGAATGAAGATTACTCACATTGTTTATATACCCAGCAGTAAATTTCTGGACAAATTCTGTAAAGAAATATTTAATGCGATTAATCACGATTTAATTTTAAATATTATTTTATTTTTCATCTTGGCAATTAAAACTGTACGTATTCGAGCGATCGAAATGTTTTTAATACATTATTATCTCTTCGACCTGCAGGTATTGAAATCTGTGTTTGTTTGGCAGATGTTAGATTTTAGCCTCGTTAAAAGGTTCGTCCCACAAAAAGGATTGTAATCTATGTATAAGTTCGAAGAGGATTGCGTGCTGTGACGACGACGATGTCGCGATATTAACACGCTCGCACGCAAGTTCATAGAGCCGCTTGCACTTTTTGTCATTAACGTTATTATGCGCCTTTTTCCAGCGGGGAAAAAAAATACGGACATCGATTCCGATGACACGGATAAAAGGCGGTAGAAATTTATCTTCCTATAAACGTTCTGTCGTTGTGCGCGACCGTGATGATACTTGATCCACGCAATTAAGAATCCGATGCCGCTAAATCGAGCTCGCATTTTATTTTCATCCCGCGAATCGATCTCTTTTCCGACTACGAGTTCATAGCTATGAGTGCGCTTATTATGCTACTGTTCGTGTATTAAATGTTGACCGCATTTCTTGGACAGTTGTGTTTCTTCGCAATATGCTTAATCCACCATATTTACGCTTCGTGTTTTAGGAGAAAAAAAACTTAATCTTTTTAGATGTAATGATTATTATAAATTTAAAAGAATATTATTATGGTTTTTATTTGAGACGTTAATATTTAATAAAATTTAACAAGAATTTGAAATTATCTTTGTTTGCTCTTCCACGTTTCTGAATTTTTGTGTACAAATTGACGCTTGATAACGCAAACATTTTATATAATACAAGGAAGGCAATTTAATACTCAAAAGTGATGGGCATCTGACTTTAAGAACAAATTTGAGTTGGTCGGTTCTGGCCGTAGTTTATATAATGCGCGTATATGAAGTGGAACACATAAATACGAGTAACCGCAGACTGCCTATTTCGACGATCGTACCGATTCCGGAATTCCTGTTCTCCAGAGAATCGTAACTCGCACGTCAAACTCCTTTCGTGAGATGCATGTTCGAAAAAGACTCTTTAAATTTCCGCCTCATTTATCACATTTTGAAATTCAAGATGTAAAAGAGTTAAAGGAGAAGTAGAGAGAGAGAGAGAATAAATTTAGAATCAATTTTTAAATTGATATGAAAGTTAAATATTACAATTATAGAGAACGATGTTATTAAAAGAAATTGGTACAAAGATACTAAGTATTATGACAAAAAAACTTTAACACTTTCGCGATTGTTATGTGTTCGGATCTGCTCAACGCTTGGAGCCCACTCTATTATATTGAACTGAATCCGATATTTCATATTACACGACTTAATACAATGATGCAAAAAAACAGTAAGCGTAAAATTACGTGACCGCCTTCTGATTTATATCGAAGCATAAACGTAAAAATTCGTGACCGATTCCTAACTTATACCAAAATATAAACGTAAAAATACGTGAAAGTGTTAATAAAAAAAATCTTATATGATTAGTCTGGACTATTGGTAGAGAATAGTCTGATTCGTCGTCAAAACAAATCGATATTTTAATAAGCAATGTATCTATTCGCGTGTCAATTCGTCATAAAGCCTTTTATCGAGCTTCAGATAAACTCGACATTAGTTATCCCCGAGTATCGGAAAAAAATGTCTTTCTCCATACGATTGTTGCTGTATCGATATCCAGTTTTTAACAGAAATTTTTAATCTACTTGGGAAAAATCTTTTGCCAGAATTTTTAACGGAAACTTTTAATGTTATAATATAATAAAAGGGTAGTTTAATTAAATTTTAATAATAATTGTAAATTTTCTTCGTTTACAATTAGAAATTTCTAAATTTTTATAAAGAAATTGCAGATTAAAAGTTTCTCGGATGATGCAATGAATAATTAACAAAGTAGCGGTAACATTATCTTCTTTTAAAAGAAAAATGAATTGATGTTCTTGTACACTGCATTTTGAAAGTATGTTATTAAAATGGTATTAGTTGAACTGGAAGTGATTAATTATCAATCTTTTTACATCGCGAGAACAAAGTATCTATGCTAAAGTATAAAAGAATCCACGCAAAGGTAAAATGGGGTATAATTGCACCGATGAAAGCTATACATCAAAGTAAAGAGATTCATTTAATATTCATTCAATATGAAGAAAATTAATTAACGTTCACGAGAAGCTTCACAAATATCTAAAAATTGGGACATTATTTTTAGAATAAACGATTGAATACCGATGTTATAAACTCTATCCGCCGCGCTATTAAATTACACCTGCCAATGCAATTATTCCTTCTAGACAACAATATTTTAATAATTTATTTACTGTTCATATTGTAGTCATAAATGCAGTCTATCGCGCGTTTCTCGATTTGATTTTCGGATCACTGAGCCGATTAAAAGGCATGCACGAACGTGCAGAAGTGTATGCAGCCTTCAAGTGGGCGCACGCACGCGGGTCAGAAAGTAATTCAAAAGAGAAAAGGGGGTAGTCGACGACGGCGTTGGTGGCGACGGTAGGCGTGGGAGGTTTTGCACGTGAGAACATTGGCGTCATGCCATAGCGAATTGACCCACTTTTAACGCGTAGATTGACCCGCCTGGCGCCATTTTAACTTTGAGCCGTCGAATAGTCGCCACCCTTGATTCAGTTTTTCCAAGTCATAGAACAGATCGTTTAGTTTGAGAAAACTAACATTTCTTGAGAATTTTTAGCATGACATAATAAAGGTAATCTGTGGAAGAGAGAATAGTATTAAAATAAAAATAAAATAAATTTATAAAAATGTTGTTTAAAATTTTCACTTTATAGAGTAAAGCAAGATTCTCATTATACAAATAATTTTAAAAGTAAAACTCTGTTTGACTCTCTTTCTTTTATGTACTTGCAATTATTTCTCGTTTAATATGGTTAGTAAAATCATATAAACAGCAGATTTAATAGCAATCATCCATTTGTTAATTTAATTAAAGAAGGCTGTTATATGAAATTTGTTATATTGCTTACAACACGAAAGAATATCAAGTTAAATATCTGTGCATAATTAAAATTGGCACTATACACTAATTAAATTTCTGCGGTTGACCAACCAACGATACGTGTGTAAACCTCCTAGAGTGTACGCAGGGTATACACATTGCTTGTGATGTATGTAGTCGTTGTTTGCAGCTCTGTATAATATCAATATGATCTCAATCAACGGCATAATGTTACAAATTCAAAAAACAATATTATTCCTTAAACAGATTACTATTAATGCCAAATCAGAGGAATTTTAAAACAATATTTGAATAACAAAAAATTAAAAATTTTCATGATGATTGATTGTAATCGCAATTTTGTAATTAACAGTTCGATTTAAATCGATCCCTTAATTCTATTTATTTACACCCTATTGCGCTGCAATATCTAGCGACTGCGTTTTTATTCGACAATAAGAGATGCATGCTTTGAGAATGAAAACAGGTCGAAAAAATTGTGACAGAAATGAAAGAGTTTGCTTTTGGCGAGCTAGATTTATTTCATCTTTTTTAACGGCGCGCGAAGATTACAAAGCCATCTTTCCAAATCGCGCGCAGTATTATCCAACGAGTCCTTCGGTCCTCTCTTGAATACGATAGCGTGGAAGTAGGTGAGTCATTATTCACCGACAATGCAGCAATCAAACATCTCTGTCACCTTGAAAAAGGGGATATTCAGCTCTTTTGCAAAACGTCACTGACATTTTGTTAAAAAGTTCTCTTCATCGAGAAATATCGATAAATCTACAGTTATATTGTTGTCAAATTTATTACATCTCTCTTTTTATGCAAATGCATATTTTTTGGCTTTTACACTAGTTTACAAGTCAAGGAAATATTTTTGCATTGTTATCGCAACGGTAATATCGTGAGAGAACCTTACGGAGAAAATTATTCATGGATAAATTCTTGTTTCGTTTTTTCTTTTTCCTTCTCTCTCTTCTCGTTACTCGGTTCGCGCATTGTATTTGGTATTGGAATTTTTATCAATAATAAAATTTCGAGTAACTAAGCTAAAATACGTGACGTCATGTTTTGATTCTGTGAAATTGCAATCCGCGCGGGTGGGAAAAATTACGAAGCAATATAAAGAGGAAAGATAAGTAACTCCGGAGTCAATATGTACTTGTCGAATGGATGGAGCGGTAGCTTCATCCGATGTCATATCATGTGAGTACTTATGTGGAAATATTTCTTATTCAACTTTGCGTGGGCCTTCAACAAATTGGGAGATGAACGAAGACTTGTTAAACATAATTATGTGCAAAAGTGTATAATATTGAGCGTGTAAAAGCTTTAGAATCTTACCTTTCTTAATTACATTTTTTTTTCAGATTTATCCGGCAGAGGCACAAAAAAGTTTGGCGATGATTGCGAGGTGGACAAAGAGTGCGGTTTCGGAGGTTCTTATTGTGAGACAAAAAAGAAGAAGTGTATTTGTAAAGAAGAATTCGAGGCCACCAACCATATTGACAAATGCGGACACGGTAAGCTTTTTTCTGTTTTGTCCTTTGCGTGATATTTTTTTATGACCGCACGTGTGTAGTAAGCTATAAAAGTCTCGAAAGAGCATCTTGACTTATATAAAAGAAATTAAAGTGGCTTTTGTTTCAAAGAACTTTCAAACTGCAGCATTATGAAATGTCGTGTGCATCAACATTATTAATAATTTAGTAATTTATTTATAGTTCTTTAAGCAAATTTTTTAAATATTCTAAATTTCTTCAATTCTAAACTATAAATTTTTTCACAAAATAAAATTTAGTAAATAAGGGAATTTTACGCAAGTTGAATAAACCTGTACATATGTCAATGCAATTAATTTATTTTCGTGAATGCTTACTAACTAAATGAATTAGTGCTATCTTAATCGAAAATAATTCCATTTCCTTCTCGATCGACTTGCCGTACCCACTAATTGCGATTTCGCATATGATATACATATCTCCCAGTAAACCGTGCAAATAATCTCACGATCGAACAAGCTGGGTTGGTTATCATCGTGACTTAGGCAATAATCTTAGCGCATAGAAATATTACAATATGATGAATATCATTGCTGCAATAAACTGACAAGTAAAAGTAAAGCAAAAGGTTTTTAATATATTTGCTGGGAAAAACAATTTTCAACAATTTTTTCGCGTAACTGTGTCGACAGCTCAAACTATCAAAAAAATTGATCAAAGATTACTTATTCAAAGTATAAATCTGAACTGTAGAAAAACTGTTATTTTATAGTGCAAACATAAAATTTCATTTTTAAATATTTCCAAATATATATTTTATATGTTGCATGTTTTTGATATCTTTTAGTTTAAATTCATAATTAATAACAAAAATTTATCAAATATTATTTTAGCGGCAAACGTGAACGAATCTTGCTTCTTCCACGAGCAATGCGAAGCACGGGTGATCCAAACGGAATGTCGCGACAGCCGGTGCATCTGCCTTTTCGAAAAAGTCCCGGTGACGCAGCCGGATGGTGTAATAACCTGCGTTGGTAAGGAACGGAATCTCCGAGAAACAGAATACGGCAATTTTAATGAAATTTCTTTCATACCGTCATGCTTTCATATATAGTTCAGCGAGAGCTCAAAAATGGAATTAATAAAGCATGCATTCATTTCTCACATGCCAACAACATTCTTCTGGAATGATGTTGGCGCAAAAGGATAAAACTAAAAAGAATATAAAAAATAGCAAGCTTGCATGTATTAATGGAGAATAAGTGAAATAATTTATGGGGAATATATTTTCTCAATTTAATATAGTAACTGTTATAATTTAAAACATCTTTTCTAAAGCTTGCTTTGGATCTTTCATTTAATTGTCAGAGAAATTGAGATAAAATTTTATTTCTAACTTTACATTATATAAAATATTTGAAGAATCGGGATACACATATACAAAATACGCGTTACTAAATAGATATATTTTTTGTACATATGTATTCTCTTTTTTTTTATATTTTTGTATTTCATTCCGACTAAATTTATTATGGATTTATGTTTATACTTCATATATTTTAATTTTACGTCGTTCTTTTGTTTTACATTGTTTGTTTGACTCTTAATTCCCTTAGGATAGGTCAGATTTAATTTACGACTTTTTAGTTTTGCGGTCTCTCGTGTAAACCGACGAATTTATTTCCAGCGGAGATCAAAGAACCGCCCAACCTCCGGTACATCGATCCGGCGATGATTGGTGTTCTCGTTGGCATGGCACTGATGTTCATCATTATTTGCGTCGTTCTTAGACTCTTCAGCAAGTAAGTAAAACGGTTTAATTGATATTATGCAAATAATCATATACATAATATATATTTATACGTTAAATGCATTCATTATTTTTAAAGTGCACAAATAAAATATGCAAACGTTTTGAATTAGCAAATTTTTCAAATCGCGCTGCGTTAAAATACAACTAAATCTAAATGCATAGCCATAAATAACAAAAATCTTAATTCGAATTTAAGTATGTGAAATAGAAATGAAAAATTGCAAGCTCGGTTTCGAATAGATACGCATCCAATTTAGATATTTATTATATATTTAAAAAATTGCAATGTTAATGAGTGGTGTTCTTTAAAATAATCATTTATTTACTAAATATTTTTATACAATTTAACATGATTAAAGTTTGTTCAATATATCATGTGCTATTGTGTGCGTATTCTGGAAATTAACCAACATTATTCCACGGCGCAATTAATCATAGAGAAACAACTTTGTGCGAACCGCACTTCAACATTTTTAGGTCGACCTCAATTCTATGGAAACTGCTACGCGGTTATTTGTATACATCTACTAATACTACATTTTCTGAATTTTTCAGTACTGCAAATATGTGTACAAAAATGTGACTATAATTTTATATAAAAATTATTTTTTTTGAAACTTTCTGTATTATATTATTTTAGCTTATTAAACGGATATAAATAGGAAATAATTATATTTCGGTACATAATTAAATTTTAAAGTCCATGTATATATGTTTTATACATTGCTTTTCTAATTCTACAAACTCTCTTACACACGCAAGAAGTTGAATAGCAAACTCAAAAATGAAAGATGCTAAAAATGAAAGGCGAAGTCAATTTTCATCTGACAAATGAAATTGCAGGGCTCGCTGGCGAGAGAATCGTACCATCTTTAATACACCCAATGCACGACTGATGAATGTCTCGTTGCTGAGAGAGAACAAACTCTTGCACGCCCAAGAGAGACGTGGCTCGAGGGCGAGCGTACGAGCCCCATCGAGGCAACCTTCGATGGCGTCTTTAAGGGCCCACTCGCCGAACGCCTCGCAAGGTGCGAAACACTCTCACCACTCACAGCACAGAGTGAGCCGTACGGGTTTTTCATTCACTTACTAAGCAAGCAACTTGTTTATACAAAGTCTTGTTGAAATAGAGCAAGCGAGACTCTTCTATCTGTACCGAGATATTTCCGATACAGTTCCGTGAAAATCGATGAACTCGAATCGATGCAACAAAAATATTCGACAATTTGCGAGACGAAGTAATGAACAAAATTCGTAAGACAAGAATTTATGGCAATGAATAATATATGTTTTTTTTTAAATAAGAAGATATAGATATTTTAATACACGAATAGCATCCTTTTCAAGATTAGTAATTTAATGGAAATCCATTTTAATCTGCAATCTGAAGTAAAGATATTTTTATTAATATTTAACTACCGACCTTTATTTTTCAGTACATTTAAATATTTTAGTACACATATTTCTATTATAATAAAGAAAACGTGTATTAATGTTATGAAATATCAGGCAATTAACGAAGTCCATGCGATTTTGCTAATAATAAGCTTTACAAGCAACCGTATAAATTTTGTTGATTACCGGATATGTCTAAAATAATTTTACATATATATGTACTTAATTATACATTAAAAACAGATATATAAATTAAGAATACTTTTATCTTTTTTTTTTTTGGTAATTATTTTTTATCGAAAAACTATTTTTAGCGCCAAGGCTTGATTCACATAGATGGATATTCTTTTTTCTCGAAAAGAATTGTTATTTTTTTTTGTTAGCTATATTTAGCAGTTTACGTAATAAATTTTCAACGTACGCAAATGCAATTTGCGTATTACTTTCTCCTCAATTTAATCAAGTTTTCAAGGATAATTGCAATTGCAATTTTCTGAAGGATTTATACATGATTACGCAATTTGCACATGATCACGTAATTTGATGAGATTATATAATCATCCATCATACTCCATCTTTTGGGATTTAATTTGAAAGATGAGATTTGGTGCATCGATTTTCGAAGGACTGCATGTCTGATACATACGAGTATATACATATATGTAAGGGCGACTATTTATTTATCTGTCTGTCTATCTTTATGTAGCAGAGCTCTCTTCAATCCTTAATGCAGAATCCTTTCAAATTTTAAGCATGTACAGACGCCTGCCAAGAGGGTAGTTATATTGTTGACTAAAATCGGAGTGTTATCTGCATCGCTGAACTCGTTTTCGCAAGTAATATCTTTCTTTCGTCTTTATATGCGCGAATGTTTTGATAAATAAAAAATATATATATTTTTAAAACATTACTACTTCTCTTATATCGTAATTAGCGATACATACAAATTTTTTTATATTTACTATCATATATTATCTATTTTTTTAAATTAAAATTTTATTTATATGTGACTAGTAAATGTATTATTAATAATATACAATATATATTTAGATTATCGAGTGAATTATCTAATTCGCGCAAATATTCATTTTTTTAGTGTCTCAAGCATAAGTTCTCATAGCAATATATAGAGAACATTATTTTTTGTAATTTTTTTTAACAAACTCTCTTTGCAGTTATTATTTAAAGTAGTTGTCCTTAAAGGTCTCGTCTGTAACCACTGTTCTTGACTATACTATAAATCAAGGCTCTCTACTGTAAAAATTTTTTCGATGCGACGGATTTCTTAAGAGGGTGAACGCGATTTCGTGTTATGACGATTTTATGCTCGTATTTGCGATTTATAAATAAGTAAAGCATAAGTACAATACTCTTGAAACTAATGTTTATAATTTTATACAATCTAACTGGCATTTAGAATTTTATAAATCCAGCGTTATACATACTTTGCCCTCTTGAAGATATGTCGCAACTTCAATTTAATAATCTATGAGTTTCATTCTAGACAATTTTCTGTGAACATAGTTTATTGAAGTTTGTGATTATAGTTGCTTGCTATAGTAAAATATCGTTGTTCGCATTCGCACGACGATTCGCTCTCATAGAGATCATTTCTCATTAGAAGGTTTAGATAATTGCAGATAATTGCATACAGAAAATATTGTAATGAAAAGAAACATCGAGAGGGAATAAAAATAAGATATTTAAATTTTTGAAAAAATATTGAGTTTGTTTTTTAAATGAAAATAACTTTTTGCATTGACCAACGTAAATCGGTCGATATTTTTACTTACATTGTCTTATTTAACTCATGCACGTAGAGAATTTAGGAGAGATTTTTACTCCCTCTGACAAAAAGTAGAAAGTGATTATGCAATATATAAATTTTTCAAATTTGAGTTGCAAGCACTTGCATTTGTGTGTTCACATTTGCACACAGAATTCATAAACACATTGAGACAATCGCTATGAAACTTGCAATAATATCATGAAACATTTGTTAATTTTTATCGAATAGTGAAATTGATATAAAAACATCTTTCTTTTCATTCCATACAGACACTAAAAATCATCTACTTCTCACACAGAGTTAGTTAAGGTAATATAATATGTGTAGTATGAAACAAAGTTTATATAAAATTCTTCTTAAAGCTTTACATGTTGTACATAAATTTATTAGCAATAAGCTGCTGCACATTATTAATATTACCTAAATCCTTAAACCGAAACATTGGTCTTTGATGTTTTACGATAATTAAAAATTTTGCAACATAAATAAATACATTTGTATTTATTTTTTTTCTGCTAATATAAAAGTAAACGAATTAAATTAGTTATATATTTCAAAAAGTAGAAATATAAAGAATGTTCCAGAAAAAGTTACTTGTTTTTAAGCAAATAGATTTTCGAATTTGGTTTCGAATTAAGGATTAAATACAAAATAAAATATTTTAGCATGCTACATATCATTAAATGCACACACATTCATACACACACATGCATTTATTTCACATTGTGACGATTGACTATTTTGCTCTGATTGATGCGTTTTTTCCGCGCAGGTCTTCATGCTTAAAGTTATTCTGGCTTTTCGTGTCGTGCTGCCGCGCTATCGCGCCATAGCACGCGATACTTTAGCAAGAAAATCTCTGTCGCCAGGGTCACGCACAGGATCGCGACGCGGGAGTCGCACCAGCAGCGGAAACGCTTCGGCCGCTTCGGTGAAATCGCCAAATCATACGAACAACGTCACCGACCCGGTCCAGGAGAAGGTCACCGTCGAGATTCTCGACGCGAAGGTATAGATAGATGCGTCCTAGCGTCGCGATCAGCATTTCCGTTTATCACCTTAGTCTCGCGTAGCCAAAGTACGGCGCATTATTAATTGCCGTCTAAATAAATCTTCAACCCGCAAATAATTGGTTCTCGGTCTTGTTTCCGTACAATGCAGAATAAAAAAATATTCGATAATGCAAATGTCATCGGCAAATACTTTTGCTGAGATTAACCCACTGACGATTTGTGAATGTTGAGATCTCGACGAGGTCGAGGCATAAATTGTCAGTAATTGGGATCGCCTAAATATCTATTGCGCCGCTTCAAGTAATAAGCAGAAAGCCATCTCGTTCAATTAATTGCAAAGAAATCTTTTTAGCGCGTCTCTCTTTTCTCAATTCTTCGTATCTAATAGAACGCATCGAATCTTAATTGATTTTCAATTAAATTTTCGCATTATCTGTTAAGATAATACAGAAACTTAATTAATATTGAATTAAAAAACTGTTTCCTAAAAACAAAAAATAACTCAAAACAAAAGAATAAACTAAATCTTGAATTATTCGAATGTTTATCACGCTGTTTTAATAATAGCGAGTACGAATGTAAAATTATCCGAATAGACTCAAATTGAACGACTAGCAGTATTTGAATAATTATTATAAGAATATCGAATTTTAATTTTGGGTATTAACTTGACGAGACATTAATAAGTCATTTTAAGAAGTGGGAAAATTATTTGGCTAGATGTTCACAATTATAAAGCGATTTGATACGCATCCGACACACCTGAGTTGCAAAATTATCGTAGAAGGTATTTCGAAAGGAAACTTTCTTTGAGAATATTACTGAAAATCAGTACGATAGTACACACTTGAGTCGAAAGAGATGAAAATTATCATATCTCTACACGATGACGACGTAACTTTGCCGCTCGTCCAATTAATCCACACGATTTATTACTTGTTCGCTTTGTGGTAACTGTTTCAATCGTTTCCGGAATCAAAGCGCGCCAATATAATAATTACGGCGATGGACAGTTATCGAAGCTCACACCTGCGACGTGAACAATTTTCGGACCAAGCGGTTTTGCACCGCATTCGATCGTTCTGTTTAACAGGGACACAGTCGCACATAATATGCAATTGATACGATCACACGTGTCAATATATCAGAGTTGCGTGAAGAACACGGTAGAATATCCCGCGAGGAATACATTGGAAAGAAGTGACAATGTTGTAAGTAATGTGATGATTCGTTAAGAAAGCAACCGTAGCGGGAAATAGCCATTAACTGCGATTAACTGTGAATTGTTGATCCATGCAGCAGTTAATTTCCGTTTCCACTGGGAGGAAAATAATAGGCAACAGGATGGCGGTTGTTCTTGATTGGTTGAATTTTCGCGGATAGGTAATGTTAAGGATTGACGAAAGCAAGTCATTCATAGTGTCGAAGCGATGATCAATACGATCAGACGCGCAAGCCTTCTCCTTGAAAGTTTTCTCGGTGCCATCGAGCCGCGGAAAAATGCCGATCGCGGGATCAATGATTTAATCCTTCACATCAGAGCTGTACAACTGGCTTTGCCTGCCGGGCACACTATGGCTAACCGATAGAGATTTCTGTATTTCTCGCTTGATTGAAAAACACGAATTGATAGGAAAGGGGATGAACGTGTGTGGATTATGAAACTAATAGGAAGTTAAAATAGAAATATAAACTAGTTACAAGGAAATGGAAAACTGTGCCTGCGAGAGCAGCGTAGCCCGAATTCAGTGAATTGTGAAGCTCTGCTTTATATCGATGCTGCGACTCGATCGGTTCGCGACAAGCCAACGCGAAAGGGACCAGAGAAGAATGTTTGAAGTGAAATGCGGAACTATAAAAGCGAGGCGCGTTGCCAGATTCATTAAGACGGTGCCACGCGGCGATAATCAAGCGCATTCGATCATACAATCGTAACTGTAGAACTTAATGATAATCACATTAATTAAACGTAATCGAAGCACAAGTAGACGACATTTCTTCGAGGTGCACAAATTTCTCTTAGAAGGAAGAAAACTAATGCTTAATGCAAACTTTCTCCTAGAAAGTAAAAACTTAACACATTAAGATTTAGAAGCTTTTTTGCTTATTTGGAAGGATTTATTATTAAGGGGAAAAAATAGAACACGAAAATTTGTAAAGCTATTCCTCGCTTATTTCGAAGAATATGTATTTTTTCTTCACTTATATCTACGAGATTATAAACTATATATAATATATATTATGAGAAAAATTAAAGAAATCATTCGGAAAACTTTGAGATTTTGAGAAATTTTATTTGGAAAACTTTATTCAAATAGAATGTTTCTCTTTTTCTCACCGTTTTATGGCACCGTGACAATAGTAAAAGATGGTAAAAATCTGTGTGCAGTATATCAGACACGTTTATACTAAATTAAACGAGCGATGATGAAAGAAAATAGAATGACTACGAATAAACACGTATATTTTTAGTTTGTTTCATGTATGACGGTGAGAATTTGACCTCTTATAGGATCAATATTTATATAGAAAATAGAATTGTCTCTGACGCAATTCTCGCAGCCGAACTTATCGCTAATGAGCTTGCCAATAATTAGATACAAAATCGAAATCAATAGCAACTCGTAGCGCTTCATTGAGAAATAAATTTGATTTATTAAACACACAAAAATAGAAGTAAGCGCCGAGCTCGATGCTGGTATTATGACATTGTAATTAACAGAACGCAAAGTTACACATCAGATCGGGTGGCTTTTTATTCATTAGCGATAAGCAAGAGAAGAGGGGATTGAAAAGACAACAAATATTAAAAGACACGATTCTTTAAAGCAAGCGGATTATAAATCTAGTTTGTAGTGATCCAATAGCAAATCCAAAAAATGCGCATATAATCCACATAAAAATGTATTTTAGAATGATGGGAACATTGCTAATAACGTAAGAATTAGTCTATCATTATCGCTTTTCCCTCCTAATAGCTTCTTTATTCTCTAAAACACAAATTGAGCTGCGTTTCATTTCGGATTTTCATGTTCACGGCGTATTTTGATGGTTAAAAATGCCTCCCCCTTTTACATTGTTAGAGATACTACACTACATGTAATTGATGAACATCGTATTTGCATTTGTCACGTCCAACCAAAAAGCCGCTAGACTCTTACCGGATATTACATGGGAAGGGGTCCTTTTCTAGCGCGACCAAAACCATCGCGATTACCTTTCGACATAGACACGTGATTTTATACGAATATCTTATTAATCGCACAAGAGTACATCTTGGTATCGAAAGCTTGCAATGCCCGTACGCGATAGAATTGTGCGAACAGGTTGAGCGACGGTAGTCCAGTACGATTGTATTTCAACAATTTAGTGCCTGCGCTGTCGCGTTTATAGTGATAGATCGAAATCTATTGATCGAGTTATTAACAAGTACAGATACATATATTCATATATATATATATATATGTGTGCATACACATTCACGCGAGATGATCTATAAAACAAATGCGTATATATATATACACAATTATTAATGAAAGCTTGGCACTACCTGCACTATTTGTAAATTACGTCTGTAACGCCTAGCGACTGTCTCCACTCTGTGATCCATGTGCAATACATAGCTGCGATTATTCTCGCGAGCATTGTCGTGATTATTGTTATTCTTATTATTACTCACTATTACTGTCGCTATTATTACCATTGTTAATATAGTTGCTGTCGCTATTATAGTCGCTCCTACGAAGGAGTCCTGCAAATGACTCGCTTAAGTATCATCCCGCACCTGACATTGTCTGTGTTTAAATTCTGTCACTTTTATAGGCGCGTATTTTGCGATACCAGCCGATATAGTTCCATATATTTGGGTCGAAGGAAACCATTAAAAATATTTTTAACGCGAAGGAAAATGTGTATATGACAAAGCAAAAGTATCGCCGTCACATGCTTTCTAACTAAAATGTGTGCGTGTAATTTAGCGAGTAAGATTGGATAATTGATCAACGTCGCCGAGAAATTGGAACGATCCAGAAAAGAAATTTGGGGAAGATTTCTCTTGCAGGGTCTCGCAGTTTCGGGCGATGTTGCTGTTAGAGTACTACATAATAAGTTTAAGCTACTACCTAAAGAGCACCCATAATCTATCGTATGATGAATCTATACAAAAATTTATATGTATTCATCGCCAGCACAATGAGAATGAATTTTTCCTTTCCTCGAGCTTTAAGATAACTATCGATAGGGTAATTGACGCTTCGACGATGCGGAAGTGTTCTCTAAATCACTCTAATTACTAAATTACTCTAAACTTACTCGATATCATTTATATAACGAGTATATTCATGAGCAAGTTTGCGCACAGACTTTTCTCTCCGCCCTTAAATAAAGAAAGAAAAAGAAATAACGAAAAAAAAAAAGTAAAGACGGAACAAGCAGAGTGCCTATTCTTTATCATTCCAAGACGCTCGCTCACTTTTGTAAATCTTTAACTCTAACAAATAAGGAATCAAGCCACACGTTTTTGCACACTCCACGATCGTTTCTCTCGGCAAAGGCTCGACGATAATAAAGACATTTTCTAAAATGTTAAGTACTTATATGTAACGTCGATGGTGCAAAGTGATTTTCTTATTTGACGGATTGATTTATCCGACAGATCGCGATGATAAACATAGACAAATGATAATCACACGAAGTAATTGTTCACTTGTTAGAACTAATTTTGTTTTATACAGAGAATCTTTCAAAATGTATACTGTAATTAGCTGGTTTCAATCTTAATCACCGGCCGCTGAGCATTATTAATCGCTGAACAATTCATAAACGGTATAGAAACTTTAGTAAACTTATAGTATTTGCATTGTGCGCATTATCGCGTGCCAAACCGATCTATTATGCTATCGTTGATCGACAAACCCGTCACTATTGACGCAGTTGTAATCATTTTAATGACCAAATCAATCACAATGATGACTGTAGATTAGAGTGCTCGAGAATTTCTTAATAGTGAGGGATAGAGATAACGCGGCGAATGATGCAATGGGGAATGACGTCGTGATCCAAATATGGGGAAGTGTTTGGATCTCGTCGCTTATTCCTGAAGAATATTTAAGAAGAAAGACTCGACACGCGGAAAGAAACGTCAAATTACACGATCTATAATTATTCATTGACGAATATATAATCACGAGATTATAAGAGAAAAGCCATTAACAATCGTAGAAAGGGTGCAGAATTAGAGACTATTTAATTAGAGTATGTTTGAAGAGTTTCTAAATAAGATCTTTCTCTTCGATTCACTTGGATTGACTAGCTGCGATCTAGTGTTTTTTAGAGTATCGTAAATGCGCGTGATATTATTGTATTCCGAAATTGTACAGTCATTTAATGACGACTATTGTCGACGATCCGATCGGCGAGAAAAGGTGGCAGTCAGTCGATTTAACGAAACGATGATTACTTCGATAACGAACACGCAAACGCGATCAACGATATTTTTGGACGATTTCGAAAAACAATCTTTCATCGAGTACAATGTCCCTACGACGCGCGTGTTTCTAATTTCTTATCTTGCGATTTTTGCGTATCTTTAAACTCAGCACGGATATCGTCACCCAATATTGTACTTCTACTTGTATGGTAAATATTAATTACTGCGTGATTTGTATCCTTAAGCTGACAAAGTAAGTTTCTTTCTTACGCAATTAACAGCGATAAGATTTAATCTTAAGCTCTAAAATTGTTTGTTTTTAAGAGAAACTATGCGATACGCATATTAACATTCTATTATTAAGCTTTTGCGGATCGCTAAAATTGATCGTATTATGTATATCTTTAAACTTTACGCTTGCATTTACTATTATCTACGAGGTAAGTAGAACTACTGTCTATCTTACCGTTGCTCGAGTAGCATCGTCGACGGTATTCACGACACATTGTGACCTAATCGTAAGATACAAATTTTTAATAATAATATTTAAAATAAAAAATAAAAAAGGAAAAATTATATATATATATACGACGCGTAGATTACGTTGATAAATGCGGATTTATGCGATAAATAAGTTTACACATGTGTGTAAACTCTATATTACAACGCTAATAGTATCTAAGGATATCTATTTAGTAATTTTAGGCAACAACTGACAAAATCTCAAACAATTGCGATTGTATTGTAGGTATCATTGGAAAAGTAATATATATATATATATATATATATATATATATATATATATATATATTGGGTAATCTAAAAGCGCGTTAAACGCGATAGCATATATAGACATGTTATGATTGGGTGCGGGTAAAATATACGCGAGTCCCTTTTTTTCCAGTCCTCAATATTTTATAAACTCTGGTATGCAAAATGAAAATGAATATTGTCGAACTATATGACCTACATCGTAATTACTCATATTGACTTTATTAGCGGCTTAGCGTACCTCATAATCTTTATATATCATACTTTTCATATTATATTATAGCTTACAACGATTAATAAGTAATCTATACCAAATGTATCTAAAATTCAATTATATTCTGATTCTTCAAATTCATTTTAATAAAATCTTAATACACTATGTATGAATTAGTTGTTCTTCACTTCTCGCAAGAGAAAAAAGATTTTAAAAATACATTTTTCTTTATCTAAACCGAACTCCATGGAGCCACCGATTTGAATATTTCATTCTGCGGCCCTATTTACTCTCTGTTTTAATTTTTACATATTTTTATATTTGCATATTACAATATGCGAAATATTAAAATGCTTTAAATCCCACAGGAAAGCGTGATTGCATATTTTTATAATAAAAACAATATAAAAACGATCAAAGATATTGAAGTAATTTAAGCGTAGCATAGCCGCAATGACTAACGTGCAAAAATTAATTACTCATATTTTTGATGTCTCCTTTTCCTTCGGTCTTTTTTTTTAAGTGTCGAACGTATCTTACAATTAGTTCCGTGCGATAATATTCAATTTTACCTTTATTCTTATGTGACAAAGTACGCGTCCGGAGTGCCGTATAAAATGTGTGATAATAATCAACTGGATTTTCACGTGTTCCAATATTAAGAGGAAGAGGAAGTTCAGAAAATACATTGGGCGCCGGCGGAACAACTTTCAGGTCATTATTTATTATTAAAGTAACTTCAAAATAGTTTTCTATTGTCACATTTTCTTAAATGATATCAATAAGCGTTATTGAGAATTGAAAATCTCAGTTCTTTTCAACTCGACTCACGTTAACTCGCATAAACTTAGCGCGAGACACACGATCATCTTTTTTGATATATATACATACTCTTGATATTTATACATAGAACTCATACATAAGAATTTTTATATATAATAAATTTATTATATATATTCTTATTATTTATTATTCCTGCAATAGCATTTTAATAATAATTAAAGGAAAGATTACAATAAAACAAGTTAAGACAAGTTAAAAAGACTTATAACTTTATATAAATGACTTACCAGAATCAATACTATATTTACAAAATAATAGGACGTATAAAATATTTTAATTATATGAATTTTTTGTTCGCCAGTCGAGAAATTCGTCAAATTCTGCTTCATCACCGCTCGATATATCATCATCGATATTATCTTGTTTTCTATCGGTGCCTTGTACTTGTTCCATGTGCTTTGCGAGATCCAGTACTCTTTTATAAAAATTAATTTACAATTACACACATACTTCTTATATCATGTTAGAGTATTTGTCATATAAATGTTGAAAATGCATTTACCTAGACCAATGCCTCATTTGCTCCTCAATTTCCTCCATTTGTCTCTCTGTTGTGGCTTCTTCTTGATCATCGGCAATAATTTGTGCAGATTGTGCATCTTCTTCTTTAATTTCTTTTTGGTATTTTTCCCATTCTTCTTCCATAGGATCTTTATATTCAACATTACGTGCCTGAAAATATAAAATTACATATTATTTTGAATAGAAATATTATTAAATATTATTTTAAAGTAAGATTAATTGTATATTTTTCATTTTATGACAATCTTACTTTAGCATCCTTCACTGGGTCATCAAAAAATCCTTCTGGAAGCGTAGCTGGACTTGTATCTTTTACTTTCTCTTTTTCTTTCTCTTCTTCTATTTTCATATGTTGTATATCTGGAGTTGTAGAATCTTTGTTCTCCGACTTTTGTATTACAGATTCATTGTTAACTTTGTTTAAATTATCATCGAAAAAATCAGCTGGTATGTTTGACTTCATATGCACTACTGGCTGAAAAGAATTTTTCAGTATTCCTTTTATCTTCTTATTTGAAACATTTTGAGCTGGAGATGGAGGTTCTTTAAATGTTGGAATATTAGGTGTCATTGCAGTGCTTTCTGTTTCCAGTTTAGTTTTCTTCGCTAATGCAATATTTTCCTTATGTACTTTGGAATTTAAGTGAACAGGCCAAACTGTTTCATTACGTATAATTGATTTGCATAAAATGCACATAAGCTGACCAGCATCTGTATACGTGTTTATCAGTGTTAAGGATCTCCAAAGTCAATTACAATATAATTATCTCACTAACAATATAAACAAATATATATTAATGATCATAAACAAATATATTGTCAACACATAATTTAACATAACAATCATAATATTTAACCCTTAGTCCCGACGGTTCTTTTCAGCACCTTTAATCCCGACTCATGGGTCGTTTGCATCTTTGCGTTATTTGGATCAGTAAAAACGCTTTAAAAAATCTGAAAAAATTCATGGAGCTTCTTTCAACCTTCAACTTGAAGTCCCAATTATAATATTTCGATAAAAATTATTTTTTATATAGTTTGTTATTAAGAAATGGAGGTACCTTACAGCATTTTGAAATTTCGCTTGGGTCGAAAACGACCCATGAGTCAAAACTAAGGGTTAATATACCATCACAGTTACTCACACTTATCAATTCCTAATTATATCAATTTAATTTTAACAATATTCATATTATATTCATATTTTAAATAATATACTAAGTTATTGTTTATTATTTACGTCAAGATTTAGAGAATTTTGAAAATTCTATAAAGAAAATTTAAATGTAGAAAAATCTTATAATAACAGTAATAATGTATGAATACTACTAATAAATTTTTAATAATAATGTGTCAATATATAATTGATAAGTTGAAAGTATGTTAATTTCGTATTATATTACAGAATTATAAATAATATATAAAAAGGATATTTTGCTAATGGTGAGTCAATTTTCTTCACTACACAGAGCTTCTTTCTGTGTTCGCTCATTGCCTTACGCAGATCATCCTGTGTTAATTTTCTTTTCAACGACATTTTCAACGATTTGACTAGATTTTTCACTAATTTACTACCGTTTGAACGATACAATGTCTTAATACAACTGAATGCAACAGACAACTTGTAGGTTATGTTTTGGTTGCTATTTGAATCATGGAGTGCGTTCCGAAATGTGCGTTCCGTAATACATGTCTTAAGCCTGCATCAGACTATGCAATTTGTTGCAGCAACTCGCAAGCGATCTAGTAAACTACTAAAAATGCACCATACAGCACACAACATTTCTAGTGATTTACTAGATCGTTTAACCTCACATTTATATTATACTGAATAAACCGGCATGGAAGGCAGTGCACGATCAGCAACATGTGTCGATTTCTCTAAAAGTTGTGAACATTGTGAAAAATGTATAAAAAAGTTATCAGAAGAAGAACTGTTATCGCTAATAATAAGATGCGTCAATTTTGCCGCGGAGAAACATCGGAATCAAAGAAGAAAGGATGTCGATCAAACGCCATACATAAACCATCCTTTAGGTTTGTTTATGTAGCCAAAGCGATTTACGTAAATTATATATATGATATCCCAAAAATCACATTTTTTTCAATTTAGTGACAAATATTAATTATATTTTTTTTTTATTGATATTTGATAGCAAAATATAAATAATTGTGAAATTCTTCATATTGAAAGTTAAATATCAAGAAAGTACAAATAGTAAAATTATATTTTTAACAGAATTCTGAGAATTATATATACTTGGATAAAAATTGAATTTTATTTACAAGTAGAATGTATATTTTAATATATTTTACAAGGCAAAATTAGTAAAATAAATTTCTATCAGAAATATATTGACGTGGAATAATATGAATTAATTTTATTTTTTTAGGAGTTGCAAATATTTTAATACAAGAAGGTAAGATTTTTGAACCAGTGGTGATTCTAGCAGCAATCTTACATGACACTGTGGAGGATACAAATACTACATTTGCGGAAATTGAAAAAGAATTTGGACATGAAGTTTGTCAGGTGGTCCAAGAAGTGACTGATGACAAATCATTGCCAAAAGCTGAACGTAAACGGTTACAAGTAGAACATACTTTCCATATATCTCGTGAGGCAAAATTAGTAAAATTGGCTGATAAGCTATATAATTTGAGAGATCTTGAAAAAAGCACACCTATTGGTTGGACAAGTGAAAGAGTGAAGGAATATTTTAAAGTAAAGTATTTTTATCATCAAAGATAATAGAAACTATAGAAGATATTACTTCAACATTACATCTAAATTTTTTTATTTTTGTTTAATTCAGTGGGCAAAAGCTGTTATAGATGGATGTCGCAATACTAATGCCAATTTGGAAAGAGAATTAGATGTACTGTTTGCTCATCATATAATTCAATAAAAAAAGAATTGCTATAAATCGTATAAAATCGTATATGTGATAAAGTTGCAAATGTAATAAGATAATGATAATTAATTTTAAAAAATACATATTTCAAATATATATGAAAAATTGTTGTATACCATATGTATGTTATATAGCTATGCATATAACTATAAACATTTACAACTAATATTTTTTAGTAAACTTTTTAAATTCGATATTAAATTTTTTTTTAAACATTAAAATTATTTTTTAGCGTTTTTGATATTCATTGTAAAACCATTTCATGTAATTGGCCAATGTTTCCGCTTCTTCTTCACTAATTGCGTTATACAAAGATGCACGTATTCCACCAACTGATCTGTAAACAGCATAATTTGAAACAGGGAGATTGTTGTTATTTAAGTGCGGTTATATTTATAATTTATTTTGATTTTTACTGACAATTTTTACTGACCTGTGACCCTTCAGCTGCAGCATGCCACGAGTTGCAGCACCAGCAAGAAATTCTTTTTCCAATTCTTCGTCACCGTTTTTTATTCTAAGCGGAATATTCATTTTACTACGTGCATCTGGCTTGACGGGACACGTATAAAAACCTTCTGACGTATTAATAATGTCGTATATCTTGCCGCTTTTCTTCTTCGCAAAATTCTGCATACCTTTGACTCCACCTTTTCGTTTGATCCATTGAAATACCAAACCCACTACATATATCCTAAAATAGTTGAGTTATACAGTTATAAGATGTATAAGTATTACGAACTGAAAATGTAACATAAGAAAAGATTAAATGTCGTATATTCACACAGAGAATTATGAGATTTATGAGATAGAAAAAAATGTAAGGAATATTTTCTTTTTGTAACTTTTCCAGATAGATATAGAAATATAACGTTCTTTAGTTTTTTTATATTTGTTATAGTCATTTTTGTCATATCTTCACTTATGTTCCGTTCTTATATGCAGTCAATACTCACTGGAAAACGGGCGGAGTGTTGTGCAAAGAGTTATCATTTGCCATAACGGTAAAATTTAACACTGTCGGACAAATGTCCATGGGACGACCGAGCACGTCGTCTCGCACGATCACTAAAGTGACTCCAGCGGGTCCTATATTTTTTTGCGCACCCGCAAATATTATTGCAAACTAAAAGAAAATGTATAATATATCATAATATAATTATAATTATAAATTATATAGATAGCCCAAACGAAGTTATTACTATCGTATCGTTTTGGAATTTCTCTACATTATAAACAAAATTTCTTGCAATTCGCTTTCAACCAAGAAATCCTACCTTAGATACGTCGAATGGTTTCGTAAGTATATTGGACGACATGTCGGCGACAAGCGGTACACCATTTGTTTCCGGAATGTAATTAAATTCAATTCCTGGAAGTATTTATTTTGGTATAGTGTTGAAGCAATGAAACAAACCAATTTTTAAAGCGTATTTTTTACCATGCACGGTCTCGTTGTCGCAATAGTAAACGTATGATGCATTCGGATCCAAGTTCCAAGTTGAAGAATCTGGGATTTCCGTGTACTTTGTCGTTTTAGGCAGCACCATGTTCACTTTTCCGTACTTGGCTGCTTCTTTCGCCGCTTTAGCCGACCAAGCGCCTACACAAATGTGCTTTATTGTAATATTATTGCTTTGTTGAAAATTGAAAAGCTAACTGCATTTATTGCTCACCGGTTACGAAGTAGTCCGCGGTGCCGGTGTGCATGATATTCAAAGGAACTGCCGCGAACATTCCGGTGCCGCCTCCTTGCATGAACAGGATTTTGTAATTGTCGGGAACATTTCTTTAAAGGACGGATTTTTTGTAAAAATTGTCATACATATCGAGGAACATTAAGGCTTCTGAGCATATAAGATTTATAATACAAAATGTATTGTAATTTGTATCACAAAAAGTGTATGTGCACTTTTGAAATAAGAAGCTTTTGCATGATCTGATTTTGATTTTTGACTTACAGAATATCTCGTAGTGTTGCCTGTGCATCATCGATAACGTTTTTAAAGTCATTTGATCGATGACTTAACTCAAGAATGCTGATTTGTGTATTTCCATATGCGAGTAATTCCCTCTGAACGTCTTTTAGAACCTGTAAATGATAGAGTAAGCCCGGTTAACCGACACATGCGTTAGTTCAATGAACGCGATTGACCTGCATTCATTCTATCTCTTTGGTCTAGTATCAATAATTATTTTTACAAGCACAGTGATTACTTCAATAATGTAAAATATGCGATTTGCAGCATTCCAGCAGCATTTACGCTTATCATGCAAGCGAAAAAATCAGATTATTTGTTCTGGTAAAACAATGATGCGCGAATACATGGCTGTTTATTCATCGATAATAACATATTCGAAATTTTCCTTTGTAAGTTGCAAAAATTATTAATTTTTTGTATTCTACACATATAAAATATTTCAATATTATATAATATAAAATTTTTTATATGTTGTTATCAAAATTTTAATAATTTGATTTACAAGTGCAAAATTTTTAGCAGTGCAAATCCAGAAGCTATCTGTGCACAGTTGTTGTGTTCGTCGTATCTTGGGAGAACAGTAATATGTCTTTATAATGTCAATTAGGTCAAATTACAGCTGGAATGTTTTTGTAATTTTACGTTACATAGAAGCAGTAGCCATTAATTTTTCCTTACATACTCTGCGTGCCAATTAAGTAGTGAAACTGAATTTTTTTCTCAACAACTGGCAATACTATAAAAATAACTACATCAGCCGAGAGTTACATCCTTATCTTCAGATAAAGTTTCAACTTGGTGACGTTAACACGTGTGATTCCTCAATCATTTGTGTAATCGTGTGTTTCAGTGATGTGTCACGAAAATGGAATACAAGAATATCGTTAAATAATGAGATAAGAATTATTATATCAAAACGAAGAACTGTATTTGTAATTGTCAATTACAGATACAGTCACAGATTCAAAATAATCTCCCTCCACACAACGTTTACCTACTTAAGAAAAAAATTCAGTCTCATTACTTAATTGGCACACCGTGACTGCGTTATATCTTTATCGCTCATTAAAATAAGGATAAAACGACATAATATACGCTGATAGCGCGCTCCCCGCAGCCTGTGTATATTATATATTTGCCATTAAAATACCATGCAAACTGTACATATATATACATATTTCTATATAATTTTATTATAAAATAAAAATTTTCAATATTGCTATTTTTTAAATAAATATGCAAAATATTACTATTATGTTTCTTAATCATTAATTTATATTTTCAATTAGCTTATGATTTTATCTAAAAAAAGCATGCTAAAAATATTGAAAAATTACTTTTAAAATTCATTATTTGTAAAAACAATTTCTATTCATCAATTGTATATCAATTTTTATCGAACTAACGCAAATATAAGAACAATTTTTCACATACCTCATGTGGCAATTTAGCCGGACCGGCACCGAAATTGATGACTTCAGCTTTATTATTTTGATCGGTCATAATTCGTGTGGTCGATTCAAACAGACAGAACGAAACAGACTAAACTGGATAGAAGATCGAAACAAGTGGTGCCAAGCAGCAGTAACAGTTGTTATCGTACTTTCGTTATCGTTTAGCTTGTGGGGGGTCTTACAGTATCAACAATTTCACTTTTTCGATTTCCACTTTATCTTTCTACTCGCATTCTTTTCGAGACAAGCGCGATTTGTGACGATCGAGACGAGATTGACGAAGCATCTGCAGACACTGTCTGCAGTCTGTTTGCTTTGATCTTATTAAGCGAATGGCATACAGAGTGCCTCAAAACAACTTTCGTCAAGGTTCCATGATCAACACAGTATACAGTACGTTCCAAAATATAATTTCTTGTAGCATTATGTTACAATGAAATACATGGTTGTGAAATTTATCGAAATTATTATAAGTAATTTTGAAGAAGTAGAAGAACGTATTCAACTATTATGAAAAAAAAACTGATAAATTAGTTATACTTTTTAATAGATATAAAATGTGTGATGTAAAGTTGTATATGTGAATAATTCAATTTACATTTTAATTTTACAATGTAAAACTATTATTTAATTCGGCAATATATACACATATTACAAAAATAAAAAAATTATTATATACTAAATAAATGTGCAAAAATCTTCAAATAATTTATTTGTTATAAATAATTTAATTAACTGCACTATAATTTAATTAATGTTAAGTAAGTAATCTACAATTTTGTATAAATCACGATTGATAAATTTACTCAAATGAGAGTTTTCGTAATCTAACGCAAGTTAGCAGCATCGTACAGATCAACTGATATAAAGACATTTATCATTTGAAAGTATTGATTTTAGATAACATTTCAGTGTTAACAAATCATATATTTAAACAATTTTTATTTATTATAATTTCTTTTTCTGTTTTCTGCAAAAATACTTATCAATTTAAAAATGCATTTTTGAGGATTTTTTTGTATAATAAATTTATTAGATATTTTTTCATTTGAGTAAATATTAAAGAAAAATTTTAATATATTAAAACTTATTTATCATTATAATTACATTAAACTTCAGCATCATACGTATATATAAATCTATAAATATGTAGAAATACTAACCACGATGTAAGCTTTATCAGTTGATTAGTTTAGATTAGATACGTATAGGTCACGGTTAGGTAACAAGACTACGTAAGCTTCATAAAAATGAATCACGCCACTATTGAGAGCACGATTTAATCAACAGAGAATTTATCAAAAGTGAATTCACGATTAAATACTTGGATATACATTTATCAATTTGTTCATTATCTATTTTGAGTTAATCACTTCAAAAGATGATAAATATATCTATTAAGATGTTTATTGCAAAATTAAAATATGTTTATCAGAAAAAGTTCAAAATTTCTAATGTTTAGTGGAATTGTTTTGTTTCTTTTCTTTACAGGCTTAAAAAAAACCTCCATTTTTTATGTACATAGAATATACATGAGTATGCACGCGTATAGGGTTCAACGAAGAGAGCCTACAACAGAAAGAGACAAAATAATTCGAATGTTCTCATTGTCTGACCGTACTTGAGTAGCATGGCGCTTTCCAGTTTGTATAGAGTTTAGTGGACAGGACTTATGGACGAGAACTGATCTTTATGATGTGAGTGAGAATAAATGAAAAAGTGACTGTGCGAGTGAGTAAAATAGATGAATATCGGAAGATTACTCATTGCACTAAACAAACCAACCAGTAAAGACCCTAGAAGTAGGGTCTCTAATATGGACTGCGTTCCGAAATTCAGTGCCAGTACTGAAAATCTACAATATACGTGACGTAAACTATAGATTTTCAGTACTGGCAGTGAATTTCGGATCGCAGCCATGATACTCAAGTCACTAGATTGCCGGCGTTCTGTCAGTGATAAACTTGAAAAGCAGTACGCATGATCAAAATTACTAGGGAGTGGTGATCAGTGGTGACCTTCTGCGTCCTTAAAACGCCAGTCTATTAGAAACCATTGGAAGATTCGTTGTGGTTAACCGCTTGTCATTGTCGATATCTTGTTCACGAATTACATTGATTTTCGTCGTTTCTTCGTTTTCTCCAGACAAACGAGACAAAGGTAACTATTAAAATTTCTTAACGATCTCATTGTATTGATCTTTCCTACGATTTTCCGTGTTCGAAAATGATTAATTTTCGGTAGGCGAATTACGGTTCAAGGTCTTTGAATGTTTGCCAAATTAATGGTGACATTTTGATTTATGGTCGTTTAATGGAAAAATTTTACTTGGTCTCCATTGTTGTTATGTGTGGAGTAATATCATTACGTTTTTCTTTCAACAATCTTCAATTTTTAATTACACTATTTTATTGATTTGAACAAAGTAATAAATGTGAACAAATATTCAAAAACTTGGAAAACTTTGCTTTGAATTATAATATTTTGAAACATATTTTAGGAAATAGCTGTGTATATTACAATAACTTTCTTGTCATACACGCAATTTTAGATATTGATTTTAGTTCTATCTATACCAATCATCAGTTTATGTTGCATAAGTGCTAGGAAGATATATTTTGAACTGTAAAATGTATAATTTTATGCAAGATAAAAATTTAATTGTGTCAGAAAATTAACGAGTACATTGCTTTTGGTTTTATTAGAATGTGTAACCAAAGTCAATGATCGATGATAGTACAAATTGATACAATTAAATAGTATTCAATAGAAAAATATCATTATTAAATTAATTGATAAAAAATATTACATTCTTAGATGTTTCTGTATATACAAATTTGCAAACTAGCAAAGCATAATATACGCAGCTAGGAGATGATTTCTCAAGTCAAAGCAAGTAAAAAGCATAGAATTTTTCCCAATCAAGTGTTTCTAATTAGTTTGCAAGAAATATGATATATATACATTTACGAAATGCTACGAGACTTAAAGTTTATATAAGTTATATACATTCTAGACGATAAAAAACAAACATTTCATAATGGTACCTTAAATCCAAAACCTCGTATCTTGAATTTTTGACCAATTTTATTTTTTCTGTTATAATATTTTTTATGTATCAAATTTTTTTAAATAATTCCAAAAACTTATTTATTAACAACTTAAAATTATTTTAAATTTAAAGTTTGACAAATTAATCGGAATATGTTATCAATAAACAGTTTTTAATGTCTTCTGTAAAATTTGGATTTTTTTAGTTACGAGGTTTTGGATTTGGGGTATCGATAAGATATATTGCCATGATTAAAAGTATTTTTAAGTTCATCAATTAGTATTCAAGAATTCAGTAAAAAATGTGAGATAAAACTTTTGTTATAATACGTGTGAATTATTATCTCAGCGCGCAATACGCGTGCAATGCGTACGTAACTCGACTAGGGGAAGGGGTACAGCTGATACAGCTAAGAAAAAGTGAGATAGAAAAAGTGGCCGATAAAAACAAATTTATTTTTAGTAGTAACATATTCCTCAATCACTTTTGCAAATCTCCGATAGTTTTTTTTTTCTTGAATTATCGTCGACTTATTCAGCATTTATTGTTGAATTGTATTTATTATTAATTCTAATTTAATTTTAATTAATTATTTATTATCAACGATGATATGAGAATACTAAGGTTAAGGATTTCATTAGAAATCATTGTCTTATTTACAAATTGTTTTGCAAAAAATCTTTGCTTTTTTATATACCATACAATGATAATAGTTTTATTATGAATGAAATCGTGTGGAAGGTCATGCTGAAAATTGTGTCGTGACGTAGCCAGTGAATTATATACATGTTAGGATGTATTTCGGCTTTTAAATCACAGCCGACGAAGAGGGCAGCAGGTTAGCTGTTCTCTTTGCGGGCTTGTGTGCTAAGCTTATATGGGAAAGCGCGTACTACATCAGCTGACTGCTTGCAGAAACACGTGTTTACGCAAGTTCTGAATGAAACTCAAATGCGAATAACATGAACGAAAAAATAAAAAAAAAACATTAACATCTTGTTTACGCATATATGCATGGAAAACATACTGAAAACACAGTTAAAGATTTTATCGATATTAAACTTTTATGTTTCTCACGGAGAAGGCAAAGATATATTAATTAATTAATCTATTAGACATAACAATTTCAAAAATGTTGATATTTTATAATAAAATATTATTGAAACTTTGCTACAAAATATTCTGATATAGAAATTCAAGATTTAACTTTTTATTTGAAAAATTAGATGCTGCTTACTTACAGAACATAATTGTGGCCTTATTTGAATATTTTACAATACTCTGTGCTGTGGAAAATTATTTGAATAAATAAAATCCAAATAATGTAAAAATTGGACATACAAACATTTAAGTATATTCACATCACATGCATTCTGAATAATTTTAGAAACTTTCAGGAATCTTGTAATAGGAAACTAGTTATCGATTTTGTGCAATCATTGTACATGCATAATAAACATTTGTAAAACAAACAGAATTTTTAAAATATGATTTCTTGCGCGATCATAATCGAACATATTTCTGGTCGGTAATGATTATAAATGCATATGAATGATTTCTCTCGCATTGAAACATTTACATATTAGAGCACGTCGACGGCCACAATTTTTTGTTAGTACTTAATCGGTTTTTCTCTCTTTTGTTTATAAATGTATGAATTTTTTTCACAATTTAACGATTCAATCGCATAAAAAATTAAAAAGTGCCGCAATAATGTTAAAAGAGTTTCCTTGCAAATTTTTCAACTCTATTCTCTTAATTGTAATAATGTTCTACTTAATTAACACGTTGACTGTCATGTGATTTATATATAGATGACACGTGCATTTTACGTGACATCTGGACGAGAATCTTATTTATGTAGTACAAGCCTGACTTCCGATTGAACTTTCGGCGAATAAATGTGGCAGTGAACGTATTAATTAATATTTGTGGCAGCAAATATCTTTATCCGTTCTGAACGTAGCAGAAAATAATAAGCTTCGCGACATTTTGCACGTTGTCTTTTTTCGCGATCCACGAACATTATTTCTGAAAGTACTAGAAACTATCTGGTGGATGATCCTATTTTTGGATCTCCTGAGCGCCAAAGGAACGTCGTCGCGGTTATTGCGGGTCTCTCGTATGCATTGTATCGTCGCCGATGTTTCGCATCAATGCCTTCGGTTTCCCACTTCTCTTTCGTATGGTGCGCCGATGCTTCCGATTGTCGCCGGCGACGCTGTGCACTTCGGCGTGCCTCGTCGGCGATGTTAAATCATCGCATTCGCGCGCGGTTATTGCGATTGCATGGCATTCTCGCGATGGCATCATCGCAAACGCATCATCACTAATATCAGTTTTCCGCTATTTCTCTGCGCAGCCCGCCAAAATGGTCTGGATCACCGTTGATGATGAGGTACCGTCGTCGTGATCGATTTATTCTTTTTTACTAGAATTTGTTCAAGTTTGCAGTGATTAAAATTAATATAATTTCGGTGAATTTGAATCTCGGTGCTGTGAACACAAAAACGATCTCGATGTTGTGCGATAATGTATTTTTCGATTTTACAACGTAGAGAATTTAATTCGCCGAAATTACAATAGTATGTGAATCTTTTGTCCGTTGTTTGGATTTTTTTTTGTTTACACAAGTATATGTGTTGTAATAGAATGGATGTGGATTACAGATTTATTCGTATTTTATTTTAAAAATTCGAGAAATTGGTTAATGTTTAAAGTAGAATAATAATGTAAAAAAATTGATGATAAAAATAAAAATTAAACATAAGAAATATGATAATTTTGTACAAGGCATAAATTAATTGATCGCTAATTTA